TGAGGGGCAGGACCCCACACAGGAACTGCACACCGGCACAATGGCCACTGAGAAATCGAAACCCTTGTAAGTCTCTTAAGCATGCAAAAGTCACCCAAGCCATCACCAGGCTGGCCAAAAACCACAGAAATGTCCTTGGACTCAAGGTCGCCTGCTCTGTGCAACTCAAAATGACGTGTTCAGGAGGCAGTAAAGAGCGCACTCTGAAACCAGACTGCCGCAGGGTTCAAATCCCAGCACTGCCACCCACCAGCCATGGGACCTTGAATGAGTGTGCCTCAATTTCCTCATCCATAACATAGGGGTAACAACAGCAGAGTAAGCTCTCACTAAATAATGCCTACTGGGGCCTGGCCTCTTCTGATCCTGTCCTAAATCATGGTATAAATGACAGTATGCCTTCCCCAACCACCCAACCCCCAACCCACGAGCAAAACTCTGCTTTCAACCAAGCTGATGAGAAAAAGCAAAAGGCCTACATTAACTATTTCATTAACCGATGTTTGGAAGCTAAAAACCAATAAGCACTCACAGAATCCACATTCACAAGGAAGGAAGGAAGGAAGGAAGGAAGGAAGTATTGGGGGCACCTGGGTGGCTCAGTTGCTAAGTGTCTCGTCGGCCTTCGGCTCAAGTCATGATCTCAGGGTCCTGGGATCGAAACCCCGCATGGGGCTCCCTGCTCAGAGGGGAGCCTGCTTCTCCCTCTCCCACTCCCCCTGCTTGTGTTCCCTCTCTTGCTGTGTCTCTCTCTGTCAAATAAATAAATAAAATCTCAAAAAAAGAAAGGAAGTATTAAAATCAATAGTTGAAACTAAGTCTTTTTCCACACAAAAAAGTACATTTTTATTGTTTTATATAACCATGAGACATTCTTCCCAGCTAAGAGATAGGTATAAATTTCATTTTTAAAAATTTATAGGGGTGGGCGCCTGGGTGGCTCAGTTGGTTAAGCGACTGCCTTCGGCTCAGGTCATGATCCTGGAGTTCCGGGATCGAGTCCCGCGTCAGGCTCCCTGCTCAGCAGTCGAGTCTGCTTCTCCCTCTGACCCTCCCCTCTCTCATGCTCTCTCTATCTCATTCTCTCTCTCAAATAAATAAATAAATAAAATCTTTAAAAAAAAAAATTTATAGGGGTGCCTGCGTGGCTCGGTTAAGCATCTGCCTTCGGCTCAGGTCATGATCCCAGGGTGCTTGGATCAAGCCCCATGTCGGGCTCCCTGCTCAGCGGGGAGTCTGCTTTTCCCTCTCCCTCTGCCCCTCTCCCAGCTCATGCTTACACGCTCTCTCTCTCTCTGAAATAAGTAAATAAAACCTTTTAAAAAAAATTTAATTTATGGGGGCTCCTGGGTGGCTCAGTCGTTAAGCGACTGCCTTCGGCTCAGGTCATGATCCTGGAGTCCCGGGATCGAGTCCCGCATCGGGCTCCCTGCTCGGCAGGGAGTCTGCTTCTCCCTCTGACCCTCTTCCCTCTCATGCTCTCTCTCTCGCTCATTCTCTCTCTCAAATAAATAAATAAAATCTTTAAAAAAAAAAAGCTTACTGGACTGAGCTACCCAGGAGCCCTAACAATTTAACTTTTAAATCACTAGGAAGCTGGGGCACCTGGGTGGCTCAGTTGGTTATGCGAAGGACTGATTTCAGCTCAGGTCATGATCTCAAGGTCCTGAGATTGCTTAGGGTTCTGTGCTCAGCGGGGAGTCTGCCTCTCTCTCTCCCTCTTCCTCTGCCCCTCCCCTGCACTAGCTCTCTTTTTAACCTAAAATAAATAAATAAATTAAAAAAAAATAAATCACTAGGAAGTAAACTATTTTTAATTCAAATATACAATTGTAATTTGGGGATGGCAATTTCACCAAGTTTCTTTAAAGACAGGAAATATTAATTAGCAGCAATGATATCTTTTATTACACACTAAGCACCTAAAATGCTAGGTGCTAATTACTACATCACCTCATTCTCTTAATCCTTTTAGGAGGCATAGGCTCGTTTTACAGTAAAACCTCAGCCTTGAGGTTGAGTATAATGGTTCTGATAGAGAACTGATTGCTAGCACCTGTGTGAGGCTTTAATATTAAAATGATATAGAGGGGCGCCTGGGTGGCTCATTCGGTTAAGTGTCCGAGTCGAGTCGGGCTCCTTGCTCGGCCGGGAGCCTGCCTCCCCCTCTCCCTGCCTCTCCCTCTGCTTGTGCGTGCTCGCTCTCTCTCTCTCTCAAATGCATAAATAAAATCTTTAAAATAAATAAATAAAATGATATAGAAAGATAAGTTCAGGGGGTGGCTCAGTCAGTTAAGTGTCTGCCTTTGCTCAGGTCATGATCCTGGGGTCCTGGGTTCCAGCCCCGCATCTGGTTCCTGCTCAGCAGGGAGCCTGCTTCTCCCTCTCTCCCCCTGCTCATGCTGTCTCTCTCTCTCTCTTGCTCACTCTTTCTCTCAAACGAATAAAATCTTAAAAAAAATAATAAGTCTGAAACTTGAATGTGCATGTGAATCACAGGAGGAATCCTGTTAAAGTGCAGATTATGATTCAGAAGGTCTAGAGTTGGCTCTCCAAGTCTGCATTTCCAACAAGCTCTCGGATGCTGGTAATGGTGCTGTTCTATGGACCACACTTGGAGTAGCAAGGATTGCTACAGGTTCCAAGAGGCCACAAACCACAAGAAATGTCCATGAAACAACTAAAATGAAAAAGTGAGATTTTTCTCAGAAACAATGTTAACCATAATACAAGCTCTAAGGTAAAAATTATAACTTATCCATATTTCCTGATGGGATTCTGAACTTTGTAAACATCTTAAAAATATCTTCATAATGACTTCTTGTTTAAATCTAGAGTCCAGGGGCGCCTGGGGGGCTCAGTTGGTTAAGCGACTGCCTTCAGCTCAGGTCATGATCCTGGAGTCCCTGGATCCAGTCCCGCATCGGGCTCCCTGCCCAGCAGGGAGTCTGCTTCTCCCTCTGACCCTCCCCCCTCTCATGTGCTCTCTCTCTCTCATTCTCTCGCTCTCTCAAATAAATAAATAAAATCTTTAAAAATAAATAAATAAATAAATAAAATAAATCTAGAGTCCAATTTCTCGGAGCTTTGTGGGGGATCCCCCCTGCAAAAAACCCTGACTTGATATCAAGGCTGAGAAGCCAAGTACATGGAAGACTGTTTCAAGTTGCCATACCCTTCAAGCAGGTCCCTTTTTTCCACTCACCCACACAGCCTCTTACTGTTTAAATTCAAACATGGGACAAATGGCAGAGTTACGCGAGATTTTAGGGGCTGGGCCCGCAAGTTTTTCCAGATGAAAAGCAAATTTCTACAAGAAAACAGCATCTTACCAAAAGGCAATGACAAATACCACCGGCTTCCATTTCTGGCCTTAGGTGACAAAGTCCCAGCGATGAGATGGCAATCAGCACTTTATACAAACTACTGATTTTCATTCTTTTACCAGATCCTTTGAGTGGCTAGTTCTCTTTACTTTCAAAAGTCCACAGAATAAACAAAGCAAGGTACTTAGCAAGGCCCTATTTTCCACCTGGGTCCAAGTTCACGCCCTACTCATTTTTACTCATTTCTGATTATCTGTGCTGTATTCAAACATTGGCTAGATGCCTCTTTTAAAAGGCAGTTATACACCACTCTCCTCCTTCCCCCACCTCCTCCATTCTCTTTGCTAACAGCGATGCCTAACTACAGAACCAACATATCCCTGAGAACATTCCAGCTTACCGGAAAAGGTCAGTTTAAAATTCTAGATAGGGGTAACCTATTCCATTTGCCTTTTTTAGAGTCCTTCAAAAATATCCCCTGGCCATCAGCAGAACAAGCCGAAGAGAGAGAGAAAATAGTCTATGATTCTGCAATTTACAAACACTGAGACCTTCATTTAAAGGGTGTCCACATTTTATATTGTTCCCAAGGGATGTTTATCTATGTACTCAACTAAGCATAAGCCCAGTGCCTGGAAGAAACAATGTACACACATTGCAGCTCTAAGCAAATGGCTTCTCTGGCCGAGGAGGCTATAAAGTTTTGCGGCCGGGCCTCAGAGGAAGGCCTACCTGTGACAGGGAATATGGGGACACGTTTTTTTCCTGAACTGGAGCATGCCTTGTCCACAAGAGCTAAGCAACTGCCCAGAGAGGCCTGTTACAAAACCATAAAAGAGGGGCAGAGGTGGCAGGCCCCTGCCCTGAATAACCTGGAAGCTGAAAAGAAGAATTGAGACATGAGCTCTACTATTGGCAAGTCTGACAGAAAGTTCTCTGTTTCTGTTGCCTCCAACACTGGCTGCCCTCCTCCAGTGATTTAACTCTGGGTACCAATTGGGCAATGCCAGCCACCGTGCTGGGGCAGAGGATTCAGGGATGCTGGTTGGGTCTTCTAGGTTAATTAGCGGGAATCAAACCTCTGCAGTATAAACTGGAGACTTTGGGGGGCAGATCTGGGCACCCCCCCTGCATCTAGGCTACATGCCTCCATTCAACACATTTATTGAATGTCTACCCTATGCCCTGCACTCTGCTAGGTGCGGAGGAGGAAATCAAGCCACAATCCCCGGTGGTGGAAGCAGACAGAGAAGGGCCTTCAGCGGAGGTGGAGGTTGGGAGGGCCCCGAAAACCTGCCACAAATTGCTGTGACCAGTAGTCACCCAGGGGACAGCATGACCTCCGCGCCGGGCTTCGCTGACCACCAAGCCCAATAATGAAAAAGGCTCGCGACCGCGAAGGCGGGAGTGAACAGGTAGGCCCGGGGGGCAGGTGTTCAGGTAGGAGGCGCACAGCTGAGTCTGCAGGGCTGGAGGGGGCAGGGGTCCCCAGGGAAGGTGGGAGGGCGGCCCAGGACCCCGCGAGGGAGAGGGGGCGCGAGCAGCTGGGGTCTGGCCCGGGGAGGCGAGTGCGCGGCGGCGGCCGGCAGGGCCTGCGCCCCTGAAGCGGGAGCGGGGAGTGAAGGCGCCCGGCTAGGCCGCCCGCCCGCACCTGGGGCCCCGCCCGGCACCTACCACTTGGGCGACCTTGAGGCAGCCGAGCGCGCCGCGCAGGTAGTCGGGGTCGCAGCGCAGGCCGGCCAGCCCGCGGCGCTGGCTCACCGGCTCGGTGGTGGGTTGGTACGGGCTGCTGGCGCCCGAGATCATGGAGGTGCTCGAGGCCTCGCCCTCGAAGCCGTCCAGCTCCTCGCCGCTCCGCATGCTGCCGCCCGGCCCGGGCCGCCTCGCGCGGCCGGCCCCCGGCGCCCGGAGCTGGCGGGCTCAGCGGGGCCGCCGCATCGCCGCCGCCGCCTGCCTGACCGCCCGCGGCCCGCCCCGCCGCCGCCGCCTCCTCTGCGCCTGCCGCCGGCTGCAGCCGCGGCTCGGTCCGCTCGGGCTCGGCTCCCGCCGCCTCGGCAGCGGAAAGGGAGGGAGGCGGGAGCAGGAGGAGAGGGAAGGAGGCGGGAGCCGGCGCAGCGGGCCGGGAGGGGGCGGAGCGAGTGCCCACCCGCCGGCCTCTCGGCGGCGCTCCGCGGCTGGGGCGAGAAGGAGGCGGCGGCCCGCGCCTAGGGGCCTCGGGGGGCGGGGCCTCGGGGGGCGGGGCGGGCGGGGCGGGGCGCCGTCTCCTCGGACCCCGCCCTCACCTGCCTGTGCGCAGGGGCCGCAGGGGCCCGCTCCAAGTCCTGCCATCCCCGCGTACGAGGGCGGGGGTCGTGAGGGCAGAGAGGAATGAGGGCTGAGGGAGCGTCAAAGTGGACCTAGAGTACACAGGGTTGCTTTCCCGGGGTGCTGCCTTAGTTTTTCCTCTGGAGAAAGTGGGGTCCTCTGCAGGTAGGCTGGGAGAGTTCCCGCTGAAGACCAAGATGTGCTGTGCGACCCCCTGCTGCGAACGGCGCTTGGTCCAGGGTGGGTCGGACCAGAGGAGGCTAAGGGTCTGGGTTCCCACCCTGGGCGCCTTGCAACATAGCAGAACTGAAGCCAGGGACTGAGCGCGGCGGGAGTGAAAGAATGAGTGAGAGGTCGCTCAGCACGAGGTCTGCAAACAGACACGATAAATATTTGTAACTCCCAATGTAAAGTTCTAGATCCACCGGCCTGACCGTGGAGGGGCGCTAACACATTGTAGACCCTCGGTAAGCAACGTTAGTTGCCTCTCAGCTGAAAAGATTTTGCAATCTCTGTCTAATCGTCAAGTCAGGTTAAACACAGATTTTTTCCTCTGACGGGCATTAATTAGGGACCAATTTGCAATTCAAGTGTGAAGGCTAATTTTAAGCTCGAGTAAAACACTGACTTTCTAAGAATTGTTGCTTTGGTACTGAACTCTTACACACCAGAAATATTGAGAGCTTCCTATGCTCTAGGCACTGAGCAAGACGCTTGAAGAAGGTATTACTGTTCCCATTTTACAGAAGGGCAGATTAAGACTCAAGAGTGGTAGTAGCTTGTCCCCAGCGACACAGTTCCTTGGTGAGCAGAACCTGGGTTCCAACTTTTCACCATGCAATATTGCCTAATATATAATGTAGAAAGGCTGGTGAACTCCAAGCTGAGAGGCAGTAAACACCATAACTAAAAAGATTTCCATTTAAAGGGCTTTCACCTTTAGGTTACCAAAGATGGGAAAGACAATGATCTCTAATACTCTATCCACCCCTATTGGGCACTTACTGTGTGCTAAGAAATATACTAGGATCTGGAGATAGACTGCCAGGTAAACAAGACAGGTTGGATGTAGGCTTTGGCTTCTGATGTCTCCCAAAATCCCAGTAAAATGACAGTGATGGGGATTTGGGGTGGGGGGCATAAAACCATTGGGACAAAGAATGGGAGACAAGGGCAACAAAGTGTTGGAAACAGAATAGCAAATGGGCCATTGGTAACTGACTTAGCAGATCCAAGAAAGCTAAACCCTACACTGGCACAGGGAAAAGCTGAACTACAACCTAGGTTATATCACAGGCAGACGGCTCTGGAACAGGCAGCACCAAGCCCATGTCGGAGTGGATCACTAGGCACAGTGGAGGGCGGGGGTACCATACAGAAAATTATGTATTTGTGTGTTTCTGTGTCTCTGTGTATCTCCTTGGATGCCAAATAATATGAAAGCAAAAAAATTTTTTTAATTCAATAAAAGAATTAGAGAAAAGGAAATCTTACGGGAGGTAGAGCCGAAAGACAAAGAAAGGGGAAATGAGAGAAAAGAAAATTAGAAGAATAGTCCAAAAGAATAATAGAATAGTTAAGACTTCCATAAAGTTAAAACCAAGAAAATGGAAGGAAGAAACCATAAAATAATAATTCAATAACATTTCCAGAACCAAACATGAGTTTTGGACAGTGCCCAGGACGGTGAATGAACCTGGACTTGCACCCAGGCCCATGGGACTGGCAAGGAGAAAATTCTCAAGGTTACAGAGACGAACACAGGTTTCACTTTTATAAAGGATCAGGAATCAGAAAGGCATCAGACTTTTCTACAGCAACTTTGGGACTTACAAGGAAATGAAGCAAACCCTTCCACATCCTGAGGAAAAATGATCCTCACCTCGAAATCTGGTTCTGTCTGGAGTATCAATCAGTTATGAGAGTTGATGTCTCTTTCAGACATGTAGAGACTCCCTTTGTCCTTTTCTCAGGTGGCTGCTGGAGGATACCACCAGAACAAGGATTTAAACCAAGGAAACAAAGGACACGGGATCCAGGAAAGGGTGGATACAACCTAGAGAGAAGTGGTGAGAATCCCAGGGTGAGGGGACAGAGGCCCCAGTGCAGCAGGGCTGGGAGTCACCCAGTCCAGACTGGAGCAGCCAGAGCCTTTGAGACTTCTTCAAGATGAAATTCATGTGTTGAATATACAGAAAGAGAGATACATAGTTTTGGGAAAGTTTTGGCATAAGTTGGGGATAAATGCATAGAGAACTAAGCAAAAATTCATATATATTTAACTGCAGGGAAAATAAAATGATGCATAGAAAATAGGTATGGTAAATCTCAAGGCTTAGCTGTCAGTAATATTTGCATAACTATAATAATGTAAACAAGGAATGCTGATCTAACCAGAAGTAACTGTAGCAGAAAAGATAGAGGGACAGGGTGTGTGCAGGTGTGGTAGGGAGAAGGGGAGGGTATACAAGAGATCTAAATACTCATCGTCTATCATGAGAGATCAGTAGATGCTTAAAACTGAAAAATCAAGGGCACCTGGGTGGCTCAGATGGTTAAGCGTCTGCCTTCGGCTCAGGTCATGATCCCAGGGTCCTGGGATCAAGCCCCGCATCGGGCTCCCTGCTCTTCTCCCTCTCCCACTCCCCCCGCTTGTGTTCCCTCTCTCGCTGTGTCTCTCTGTCAAATAAATAAAATCTTTAAAAAAAAAAAAGCTAAGGGGGGCTCTGGCTGGCTTAGTGGAGCGAGCGTGTGACTCTTGATCTTGGGGTCATGAGTTCGAGCCCCATGTTGGGCGTGGAGATTACTTAAAAAAACAAAATATTTTTAAAAATTTTAAATATCTAAAAATAAAAGCTAAGTTAAATACAATTTTTTAAAAAAGGAACTTGAGAGTCCGTGGTGAGCAAGGCAGATACAGGCCCTGTCAGCATGGATGTGGAGAGCAAGTATTGAAACCTGTAAGCATGTGCTCTGGGAATTTCCAGCAAGGATTTAATTGAGTCTCTGTATCAGAATTTCGACTGAGATTTGAAATGTGAACAGCAGTCAGCTAAGCAAAGAGATGATAAGGTTTGATGGAAGTGTGTTCCAGGCAGAAGGAACGAGATGTGCAAAGGCCCAGAGACAAGCAAAAGCAGGGCACTGTGAAGAGGCTCAAATGCAGAATTTAAGGGGAGGAGAATGGCAGACAAGACCTGAAGCTGGAAGGAGGATGGCAGACAAGACCTGAAGCTGGAAGCAAGCCTCCGGCCGGTCCCTCCAAAACTCTTATGGGCCATGTGACAGGGTAGACTCTGAACAGGCAGTGTTAAGCAGGAGAGTGGCCCCGGGGAGGCCTGACTTTAAGAACTCTGACTTCATTGAGGGAGAAGGATTGAGCGGAAGCGAGATTAGAGGCTTCCTCCGGTACTTATTAACTGTTCCCTGTTCCTGGACACTAGCCTAGGTTTATTTTTAGTTCTAGGGACAGACTCAAAATTTTTACTTCTGGTTTTTAACAGAAGTTAAACAGACTTCCAAAGGCTGTTGTTAGGCATCCCACATAGTAATGGTAGGTACAACTTGGTATTATGGTGCCTTCCTCAGTTTTAAGTTGTAATATATCATGAGTCTGTGGCTGTAGCTGGGCCTCCAAGTGTCTGTCAGTGCTGAGATCAAAATGAGGATGATAAATGATAGAGAAGTGGGCAGCCTTCTGATAGGTTCCTTGGTTTCAGGGTCTGGTCCACATATCCAGGGCTGACTCAAGGCAACCAGACTCAGAAGAGCCTGATGGACAAACCAGATGTTACTTTATTAATTGCTGCCAGTGGATAGACTCTACCAACAATCATAATGCTAATTCGTATCTCAATCCCCGAACTCATCCTGAAAGAGTTTCTTGGAGCATAGCATCCTTAAATAGGGGCTATTCCCCAGGATACCCCGGCTCACCTGATCAGGCCGGGCCTGGCCCAAGTTCCTCAACCTCTCATTTAGCCCTGAGCTTAGTTCCCTCCAAGGGCAACCATCTCCAAGTCTGGGGACCTCCTCACTCTAGCCCCACACCACAAACGCAGTGATTCCATGGACTCATGGAAAGTTCTAACCTCAAGAGCATTGGTCCTCCAAGGACTTTAGATTCTTAATTCCATGAAGGACTGGGAGCAAAACACCTTCCTGAATGGTGTGGTCCCTGGTGGTCTTTACCTGGAGGCAGTGCCTGGTGTTGTTGAAGCAAAAGGGGGTTCACATCCTGAGGCCACTCCCTAGTGCATCTCTGTGGGTGCTGAAGGTGTGGGTAGCTTTTCCTGTAACTTCAATTAAGCAATAGATCTAATCTACTTTTAATAAGCTCAATAATTAGCAGGATCCCTAGAGACTTCTTCAAACAAAAATATAGACGGTGGTGAGGAACTAGAACATTTCAAGCATGAAGTATATAGTGGGAAGATGAATTAAGTTTAGCATTAACAATGACCGGTGTTAATATCAAAATGAACCAAATGCCCAAGAAAATCTGATGTTTAATGTCACAAGACTAACAAGTTAAGTTTGAAACAATTTCACTTGTAAATGGCCTTTCAAGGAAAAGTCCCCATACAAATTCCTTATGTCTGAAGGATTAGACTCAAAGATGTAAAAATAAACAACCCATTTTTGTGTTTGAAAGAAGCAGATGCCCCTGTCCTCCATGGGGGGACTGACCGGACCCCTCCAGCCCCGTTCCCACATGCCTGGAGGGA